TGTATTGATAATTAATCATGATTGTACGTACGAGCTCTACGTGGAACAACGAGAAGGGACTTGAGCCGACAACCCATCAAACTTACCGTCTGCATTAGCGCACAAAGCAACGGATGGCTGTCCATTCGCATAGGTGAGGTTCAGCCCGAAGAACTCAATGTCCTCACACGGATGGCTCTTGCTGCAGTTGAGGCTAACCGAGGCCTCCGTGGCCGACATCCCCTTCACCCCCGCAAATTTGACCCCTTTGATCTGTATGCTCGACTCCCATCCAGGGGCACATGTCTCGCCCGGGCAGTAGAACTGGTCGATGATGATCGGGTTACTAGCCCCCTTCACTACAATCTCCTCGACCGTCACTCCCGACACCACCAACGACGACAGCGACTTAGCCCACGTCTTGATCCTCACCCCATTTTCTGTGCCGTCGAAAGTGCAGTTCTTTAAGGTAACCTCCGCCACGTTCCCCTCCCCCTCGTATTTCCCCAGGCTCCCGATGCTGATCCCGTGCCCGGGCCCACACCACACTCCAGTCACATTCACCCCACTGCACCCGTCCCCAATCGATACGCAGTCGTCGCCCGTCCCAATAATGGAGTCGGTTATCCGCGTGTTGTTGGAGAGGGCGATGTGGACCCCATCCGTGTTGGGGCTGTCCCCAGGGGCAAATATGTGCACGTGCTCCACACGCACGTTGTTTGATGCGTAGATGAACACGTGGAATGCCTTACTGTCCACAAACCGTAACCCGCGCCCGATCGACACATTCTTAACATAACTCACCTTTAAAGTCTGCAAACACATATCATCATCAATAGAAGATTAATTAATATGAAAAAAGATGTTTAATGAATTAAAATGGTGATATCTGTTGACTTGTTGATATGCTGCAGATTATGGATCGAGTTTTGGTTGATGCATGAAGACATGCAGCTCATATTTTCTTTGTTCTGTCATTTTTATGTAGTGAAAGAGTTGTAAGTCACTTATAAAATCGTGTAGCACTTTAATGCTTTGGTTTAGTTTTTTTTTCCCACACACGTGAGTTCACACGTGTTGCTTAGTAAGTGGGGATTATGGGATTTGCATGTTAAGTACGTTTAAAAGGGGATTGAACATAATTCTGTAACTTTGAGAGCTTGAAGCTCATCATCAATGGAGATTTGATTTCTACAGAACTCTCTCGATCGTTTTCCATTTTTTTCTACAACCAAATCTACATGGTATCCAGAGCAGGTTAAAGAATAGCGCATAACAACGAGCATAATCGCGAGCTGGCAGGAAGAGGAATCTACGCTCGTGACACAGATCCCCTGGCCCTGCACGGATCTGATCATCCTGGGTTAATTCTTGTCACAAATCCATTAACCGGTGCGAACTATCTCCATTGGAGCAGAGCGATGAAGCTTGCTCTAGGCGCAAAGTCAAAACTTGGCTTCATCAACGGGACGCTGCAAATTCCAGATCTAGGATCTGAAGAACATGAACAGTACCAGAAAGTGGAATTCATGGTAATCTCGTGGCTACTTAATTCCATTTCAAAGGACATCGTAGGAGCTTTCATGTACGTCAAAAATGCCAAGCAGCTTTGGGACGAGTTAGCAGAGAGATATGGAGAGTCCAACGGCCCTTAAGGTACAAATTACAGAAGGAAATTGCTACTTTTGCACAAGGCTCGCTATCTGTTACTGAATATTACACAAAATTAAAATGTCTTTGGGATGAATATAGTTGCCTCATATCAGTACCTAGTTGTGAGTGTGGGTCTGGAAAAGCTTTTAATGAGTTGGACATGGAAATTAAGCTTATGCGGTTCCTCATGGGGTTGAATGAAGTGTTTGAGCTAGTCAAAAACCAGATTTTGTTGTTTGATCCCCTACCAACTGTGAACAAGGCATACTCCATGATCTTGAAAATTGAAAAACAGAAAGGAATTAATGCTGTCATGAACCAGTTTGAGAACTCAGCCATGATGGTGAAAGGAAACTTTGGAAGAGGAGCAGGGAGAGGACAAGGCTTTGGTAGAGGAAATGCAGGGAGAAACACCTTTGGACAACAGTTTAACAATGTGCCAAAAGGTAGAGGAGGCCCTAGGTTGTCAAAGGAAGAGAGAGCCAAACTTTTCTGTACTCACTGTGGGTACAATGGACATGAGATTCAAGGGTGTTTCAAATTAAACGGTTATCCAGATTGGTTTAAGGAGCTAAAGGAGCAAAGACAGCACCAAAGTGTCAACATGGCTGAAAAGGATGACTCTACTAAAGCAGATTCAGAGACAAGATCTCAGCACAGTGACTCATCATCTGACATTGGATCTATCATTGAAAAGGAAGTGGCCAAGTATCTGTCCAAGAGACACAACTCAGAGCTGCACACTTACTCACACTTTGCCAAATTGTCTGAAGATGAGGAAGATTATGCCTTCTCCATGATAAGCAAAGCTGCTAAGGGAAGTTGGGTTATTGATACAGGTGCTAGTAAGCACATTTGTTGTGATGATGACCTATTGTGCAACAAATCAGAGATACTAGCTCCTATTTTAGTAAATCTACCAGATGGATCCAAAATGAAGGTAACTCAGGTGGGTGAGGTCAGATTTAACAATCAGATTGTACTCAAGGATGTGCTGTTCATACCAGAATTCAAACACAATCTCCTCTCTGTGGGTCAATTGGTTGAAAAGAATGGGTTGTGCTTCAGTTTCACAAATACATGATGCAAATTACTAGACACAAAGGAGAGACTTGTTATTGCAGTTGGTAAAGCTATAGGAGGACTATATGTCATAGACTCAGAAGGAGTGTATATTAATGCAGTGGATGAAGAGACACACAACAATGAAGAACTGTCTTTATGGCATAAAAGACTTGGACACAGTTCAGGGCATTGCTTGAAACACTTGCCTTTTGTCAAGGGTACATGCTCCAAGGAGGAATTAGGTTTATGTGACATATGTCACAGATTAAAACAACCAAGGCTGGCATTTACCACTAGCAGCATTCACACCAAAGGCAAGTTTGAGCTTATTCATGTAGATGTCTGGGGTCCACACAATGAAGAATCTTTATTAAATGTCTCCTACATGCTTACAATTGTGGATGATTTCACTAGAGCCACCTGGATATACCTTATGAAGTATAAGTCTGAAACAGTTACTCATCTAAGGTCATTCATCAAAATGGTTAAAGTGCAGTTTGATGTGAATGTCAAACAGATAAGGACTGATAATGGCAGTGAATTTGTTAATGGAGAAGTGCACAACCTGCTGAGAGAAAATGGTATGCTTCATCAGAGAACTTGCCCTTATACTCCACAACAAAATGGAGTTGTGGAAAGAAAACACAGATCCATACTTGAAGTGGCCAGATCACTCTCATTTCAGGCTGACCTGCCAAAATTTCTTTGGCCATATAGTTTGATGGCTGCAGTACAGATCATTAATACTTTGCCCAGTGAAAGACTTGGTTGGAAATGTCCATTTGAATTGTTGCATGGGGTTACACCAACTTATGGGATGTTCAGAGTCTTTGGGTGCTTATGCTATGCAAATAAGCTTGATCCACACAGAAGGAAGTTTGATGAAAGAGCAATAGCTTATGTATTCTTGGGATATGTGTCAGGCACAAAGGGATACAGGGTTTATAACATTCAAACTAAGGAGGTTTCCATCACCAGAGATGTTATTTTCTATGAGGATAAATTTCCTTTTTCTCAACTGCAAATACATAATGCTATGCAGTCTCATAACATACCTTTGCCAGTTATTCATGATGACACTGAAGAACCAGTTGCACCTACTGCCACACCAATTATTGCAACACCCATTGCCACACCACCAAACACTCAACCACAGAGACAAAGCAACAGAATAAGGAAACCACCAAGTTGGATGGATGATTATGTTACTGAACTGCCTCAGGATAAGGAGATAAACACCTTTTTCTCTGTGGTAAGTCAGACCACTTCAGAACCTACATTTTATGAACAGGCTATCAAGGATCAGAGATGGGTGCAAGCCATGCATAAGGAGTTACAAGCCCTAGAATCAAACCAGACTTGGATTTTGACCACACTGCCACATGGCAAGAGAGCAATAGGGTCTAAATGGGTATATAAAATCAAGAGACACCCTGATGGAAGCATTGGCAAGTTCAAAGCCCGGTTGGTTGCAAAGGGATATCTACAAAGAGAAGGGATTGACTTTGTAGACAGCTTCTCTCCTGTTGCCAAACTTGTATCTGTTAGACTACTTATAGCCCTTGCTACTCAAAACAAGTGGGAGCTACATCACATTGACATTAACAATGCTTTCCTTCATGGTTTTTTGGAGGAGGAGGTTTACATGAAGCCACCAAAAGGATATGCAAAAGCAAAGGCAGGAGAAGTATGTCTGCTCAAGAGAAGCCTATATGGATTGAAGCAAGCTAGTAGGCAGTGGAATATAGAGTTTTCAGACAAGCTCATTTCTTTTGGCTTTCAGCAATCATCACATGACCACTGTCTGTTCTTCAAACATTCACAAACTGGAGTCCTTGCTTTGCTCATCTATGTAGATGATGTGTTGATTACAGGCACA